AATCATTTCTGATCGCGCAGGGATCAAACAAACATGTCCTTCACACATGCAGGAAGTACTTAGCATCTGTTTAACATATGTAAACGAAGGCATGTCAGGGGAGGTGCCTCGTGTGCTCAGTTCCATGTTAATTGTGATGTACAAAAGAAATGTGCATGGATTCCGGCGTACGCACAGTTTGATACATCTGGATTTTTTTGTGCGTACGCCGTTTTCTGGATTTGACCGTACGTCACGTTTCAGTAAGAAATCCACGCAAGTCTTTGTACATGAGGCCCCTGTTCCTGTAGCTGCCAGGGTCCTAACTATCCTGCACCACTCCTCAGCAACAATTAAACTATGAACAAGTCTCGGTTTGTATGACGAACAAAAAGAATTTCTTTAATTGTTGACAGTCCAGGTGGGCCGAGACTTACAGGTGGCTCGATGTGAGGGGCTCAGGAGACAGGCTTCTTTTACTGCTCACTTTCTACAAAGAACACAAAAACAAGACTCAATGAGYTGCTTTTTAATAAGCTCAAGCTCACACAAACAAATACTAGAATCTTACCCATGTATGTAACGTGAGTGCATGTTAGAAGTTAGAAATAGGAATAAGAATGAGAAGCAAAGAAACGGTTCTGTCACTGAAACTGTAAAGTGTGGCTCTGATCATCTGTTTGTGGACCTACAAGACTGTAAGTCGGGCTGAGGGACCGAGAGCGTACAGGGCTGACACTCCTGCTCCTGCATCTTCTCCACTGCAACACACACACACACACACATCAGCGATGAGCCTATCACACACAATCACTCTGATATTATTATTACAAAGTCCTTACCGGAGCTCCTCTCCTGGTCACAGCCTCGCCTTTCACAACCACAGTGTTTCCTTGGGTCAAGGCCGGCCACACGTGGTACATGACCAGAGGAGCGGTGAACTCAGAGTTGAAGCTGCGACGGTACCTGCCCAAGAGACAGAGCTGTGAGTGTGATCTGAGAGAGGAGGACATCTGCTGGTGGAGACATCACACAACATCACACAACCACCCAGAGGCTGCAGGATCAACTGTCTCAGGGAGGGAAAGGATGTGGCTTGTCAGAACACTCTGAGGACACACAGCATTACCACTGGGGTTGTTTTTTTTTTTTGTTGTTGTTGTTTTGTTTTTGTTTTTTTTTTCATTTTGAGTCATTTACATACAATGTTGTACGTGTATAAATGTATTCATTTCATCACAGGTTTGTTTCCATGCAAAAAAAAAAAAAACTGTTTTATAATCTAGTCATTTTATTAGTTGTATGTAGGCTACACCTTGTCCAAGGCTGTGGGCAGCCATTTTCTTCRTTAGATGATATATTATTTCATTGCCAGTGACACACTAGTTGTTAACAACTTGGTTTGGAACAGTTTTAATGTCACAAGTTTTGTTTGGTGATTTTTGCATTTGTTACTGAATAGTTTGATTACTGGAAGGAGCAGTGTGAGTTTGTTAATCTGAGTTAAATCAAAACAATTGATAAATTAATAAGCTAAAATCTTTTTTTACATTTTTTAAATGTAATATTTGTGACTTGAATAATTGATAAATGTGGAAAAATAACTATTTTGAAATATTTATTATATTACATTATATTTAGTTATTATTCAGTTACAAGTGGCTCTTTGAGGGCAGCCATAACACTCATGTGGCCCTCGGTGAAAATGAGTTTGACACCCCTGATCTACTGCATCATCTGCATCAATGCCACTTAAGATCCCCATTGGCTATACTGGAGTCCAGTTGAATTATATTTATAAAAAAAGAACAGAAAAGAAAACAGAAAATATACATTTCTCTTGATCAAAAACAAAGACATCTTTTACACTTCCCCCTTACACAACCTATTTGAGCTGTTCTTTCTATGTTCTGTAAAGCTGTGCATATACACACACACACACACACACACACACACA